CCTGCGTCGATGCTATTAATACGTCCAGTACCCCAGTTAGTTGAGCGATAACGTCAGCTGTACCATGTCTGGGGAAAAAGTAAATAAAATAAAGAAATAAAATATGTAGGCGTTTTTTTTAATTTTAGTGATAAATTTCAATATGAGAATGATGGAATATTGTCTAGGAAACTTTCATATTGTTGAAATAATGTTTTAAAAGATTAATATTATATCATCGTTCTCTCTCTTCACGTTTCAAATAAATAAATAAAATATATAAAGATAAACAACTGGATGAATCTATAAATGAAATGATATAATTGATAATATTAACCCATCTGAGTAAACAAATTTTATCTATAATATTATTTCTATTAACTAAATTTCGACCTCAATGGTTTTCTAGTCTCATACAGCTTTAATGCCAATCAAGTATTGAATTAATAATTTAATACTTACGATCTTTCTAGCAACTCGTTATTGGCGCAAACATCGTAAGTGACCGTCAGTAACCCTGGCTCATGATGATCCGCGTTTGCAGCAGCGGTCTGCAGATCACGCCCACTCTCCATCAATTGGTCACTCTGTTGCGCCAACAATTGCGCCAAAATATTAATGTTATTTAAATTATATAAAAGAATATCAATGTTTGCCATTTTTCGCTAACTGACTGGCAACTGACTGGCAACAAGCAAACTCAATAAGCAAACTGACGACCGTGGAAGCTGTGCGGAAATTTATAGTAAAAATGTACGTGACATAGTAATATCATTTTGAAAAGAATCCTCGGACCAAGTATAGTACCACGTGCAAAAGTTTATACCTCAGCTGAAAAGTATATCTCACATCCGAGATTTCATGGAGAAACTTCAGCATTTTATTAGTTACAATTAGATCATCATCATTATCATGAATTAATATATCAGCGGCAAAGTACCAAAAAAATGTAAAAGTGTGCGTCTCAGTCAAAACTGTATGAGAAGAAGTCGCGCTTGAAAGATTCTACCACCTCAGCACTGTTATCCATTGTAGCTCTTCACATTGAAGCGCAGTCAAACTTATCAAACCGCTATCAAACGGCTATCGAACCGCTATCGAACCGCTATCGAACCGCTGTCAAACAGCTATAAACAGCTATCAGACTGGTATTTAACAGCTATAAACAGCTATCAGACTGATATCGAACCGCTATCGGTCCATTTCAATACCTATCTGTTATATTTATTTTAAATATCTACAGATTAGGGTGGCGAAAATAAAAACATATTAATGTAAGATAACATAGATTTTATTTAAAAATCTTACAATTCTTC